CGAGGGCAGCTGGAGTGGAGGGTTTAAGGGGTTGCCAATGCAGAATGAAGGTAACCAGTTCCTACCTGGGGCTCATGCCACACCAGCCACACAGCCTAGCTGGGAAGCCAGGCAACTCCAACTTCAGCTGGCCACTTGCCGGGCTGGGGGTGGGGGTGGGGGTGGGGTGGGGAGTTGTTGGGGAGTGGCAAAGGAATACCGGCTCCGCCTCCACCTCAGTGGGCCCCAAGGAGCTCCCCTCCCCTCGCCCAACTCTTGGTTTCTCCTAATCCTCTACCAAAGGGTCTTACCCACAGAGCCCCTTGGCAGAGACTTCCAAGACTAGCCTGTCTGCTCCCATTGCTGCCCCACAAAGCCCACTGCCTGGGTGCCATACTCTGCTGACCTCCCAAAGGCCTGTGAGCATCCTGGGGTGTTCTGAGCCCAGTAGCTCCACGTATACACCTGATCCCAACCTCAGCACCCACTCCTGGCCTAGGCCTGACCTTCTAGTCTGTCCCTAAGCCTTTGCGGATGCCACAGCTCATGCCTACTCAGCTCCTGGCTGCACCCAGACCCCTGACTTCTTGGTAACCTCTATTGCGCCTCAACACATACAGTGAAGGCGGCATACAGCTTGGACAGTCTGTGCTTTCAGACCCAGCATCCTGCCTGGATTCCTTCCCAGCCTTCTCTGACTCTAGGAAAAGAGCTACCTGAGTCCCCTTGTCCAAAGAGCCATTAGGCTTGGGCAAATGGCCACAGGGTATTCCCACCCAGGCTCCAGAGTAAGAATGAAGGATGGGACAGTCTCCTGCCCTTTGACCTGAGGAGATCTTCCTCTTCTAGTTTCTCCAGTATCCAGAATTATCATAAATAAAAGGATGCCCTTCCACCCTTACAGTCAGACTGGGGCAGGCACATGAAAAACAGCTAAGGATTGCTACCACCTCTGTGTATGGGATGAGAGAAATAAAACTTCTCTATCTAGGAGAGATCTAGACTATGTAAAGAGCTCTCACACATAACAACAAACCAAATAACACAACTTTTAAAAGGGCAAAAGAACTGAACAGATGGTTCTCCAAAGGAGGTATGACAATTATCAAGAAGTCTGCAAAAACCATGGTCATTAATCCCTTTAATCTCAGCACTCCAGAGACACAGTCAAGCAGATCTAAGTTGAAAGCCAGCCTGGTTTACACTAGTGAGTTCTAGGATAGCCAGGGCGATATACTGAAGAGACCCTGTCTCAAAAAAAAAAAAAAAAAAAAAAAAAAAAAAAAATCACAATACAAAACCAACCAATCAAACAAGAAGCCTACAAAAGGTAACCAATGTCACCAGCCATCAAACTCACTAGAACACATGCTTCACACCCACTAGGATGGCTAGAATTAAAAACAACAATGAAAAAAGCAGAATGTATTTGGTGATGACATGGAGAAATTGGACCCCTGCACTTTTATGGGAGGGATATAAAATACTGTAACTACTTGGGACAACATTTTGGCAGTTCCTCAAGAAGTGTAAAGTAGAATTGCCTGAGGACCTGGCAATTCCACTTCTAGATAGGAACTACTCAAGAGCCGCAAAAAGATACTGGGGATGGGAACACTGATATTCATAGCAACATTAGTAAAAATAACCAAATGGTGGGAATGACCCAAATAGCCATCAACTGACAAACAGGGTTGTTTTTTTTAATTGTTGTATAATCAATTCAGTCATAAAAAGGAGTGAAACACTGATTCATGCTACAACATGGATGAGCCTCCAAAAACATGACACCGAATGAAAGAAGCCAGACACAAAGGCCACAGAGCGTATGGTCCCACTTCTACAAGGAGTCCAGAATAGGAAAATCCATGGAGACAGAAAGATTAGTGGTTGCCAGGGGCTGGAGGGAGGGGAGTGGGGAATGACTGCTGAGTGGGTATGAGGTTTCTGGGGTGAGGAAAATGTTCTGGAATTAGACAGTTGTGATGGCTGACAGTTTTGTGAATATACCCCAAACCGCGGAGCTGGGGGAGTTTCTTGGGATGTGAGTTATATTAGTAGGCCCTGATACCACTCAGCCCCAAACAGTCCACAGAGATCCCAAGTGAGGGTATCTTTCAGAAGGGGACATATAAGCATCCCTGATAGAAATCAGATGCATATAACCAGAGCAGAGAAAAGAAAGGAAGTCGTAAGGTTTATAATGCACCTTCCTAGTTCTTTACAAGAAAACAGGGTGAAAGTCTCCAAACTCCCAAAGGCCTCTGCTGGGGAGCTCACTTGCTCGAGGGTGCAGTTCTTAATCCTGACCTCCACTTAGTCTGGGGCCTCCTTTCTAGATTCTGTGCAATCTTGCAGGGGAACAGCCACAGGGTCTGCTCACACCAGCCCTCTCACCTGTCAATTCCCAGAGAGATGCAGGGGGTGAGGGAAGCAAAGCCTCCACGAGACTCTGTGTCTGTGTTCCCAACCCACATGTGACCTCCGACTGGCCTCAGGAACACAGGCCTACAGCAGGCAGCAGCTCTAGAAGAAACTAATGGAATTGCCACCTGCTGATCTGAGGAACTGACTGGGATGCAAAGCTGGGCCTAGGGAAGAGGAAGAGGAGAGTGGAGCCCCTTACCCATGGCTGGTGGCCAGCCTGGAGGGGTCCAGCAGCAGGGTGGCCAGAGGCCTCTAGAAGGGAAGGGCAGCCAGAACTGTAGGGTTGGGTTGCAGCTCAGAGAGGGGGTGGGGAGGGATCCTGTAGCCACGTGACCCTCCCCCGGGCCAGCCTCTCCTCTCTGGGTTCCTGGGCTGTAACTGGAGCCGTGTTCCTGCCTGGGAGCCTCCGTGCCAGGCAGAGCTTTGGAGAGGGGGAAGGGAGAGGAGAGCCCCAGATTCCAACTCCTTCTCCCTACTCTCCACTCCCTCTCCAGTTGGGAAGGGACACAGGCACACCACATTCTCACGGGCGCACCCTCAGGCTCCCCCTCCAGCTCCAAGCCTGCTACGCCTTTCAGGGTTCCCACACTTATACCCTCCCTTGGTTGAGGCAGGGGTGGGACCTCTGGACACAAAACAGCCTAGGACACATCTTATGCCCCCAACATACATACATACAACAACAACAACATACATACACATACATACGTATTCAATGGAAATCAATTCTCAGAGAGACCCACGTCAGCTAGCCTGTCCTCCCAGGTTTCCCCCTGGCTCTTGGTTCAACAGGTATCCACTCTGTCCATCTTTATAGTCTATTAGAGTTCTTCCTCCAAACCAAGTTGGTCTCCAGGGCAGCTGGAGGAGAGGAGCACTTAAGTCAGGCTTGGCTTTCCTTGAGGGTTGGGGCAGAGAGCTAGGAAGAGGTTGACCCAAGCCATAGCAATACTGATGTCTTCAGTACCTGCTTGGGAGCTACTACCCTGTGCTTAAACCCTGCCATAGAATCAAAGGGTGCCAACACCCCTACAGTACCCAAGCTAGAAAGAGGACTTTCTCAAGACACAAGGAATAGAGACAGCGAAGAGAGGGGGAGAAAAAGACGGATGAAGAGTAGTGCAGCCAGTACTCTAACACCATCATCTGTAAGTTCTGGATCCTGGGGCCACAAGGCCTGCCTGCAGCAGAGATCCCAGAGGGAGCAAAGAGGCTGCCCATGCGAGCCCAGGGCGTGTCAGAAGCCCGGCTGGGCTAGAAGAGAGGAAGGCACAGCTGGCTGATGGGCTGCTGTGACTCACCGCGGACCTGCGGCCAGACGGCCATCCTCAGCCCTCCCTCTTGCCCGCGGGTGAGGCTTAGGGCTGCACAGATGGTGTGCAGGGGCGTGCCAGGCCAAGGCCCAGGGGCTGGATCCACAGTGGAAGCCAAGGGAGCTAGGGAGGGGGAGACCCTGGGAACCGAGACATGGAACTGACCCTGGAAGACAACCCAGAAGGAATGGACAGACGAGGAGAAAGGAGGAGAAAGAAAAACACAAAGGGAAATTTTCCCATGAAAATATTTTATTTTCTTTGAGAACAGGATACACCTGCAGGGCTCCTCGGCCCAGCCGCCTCTCCCTGCCCTGGCGGGTACCAGATTCCTGGACCAACGGGGCCCTCTGCCGGCCACACCGCTGCGAGCGGGCACCACAGCCAGGGGCGAGGGAACAGGTGACCGGCAAAGGGCGGCGGCCCAAGAGCAGTCCAGGGCACCCAGAACCGGGGCTGCGACCCGAGGGACCAACCATAGCTCCCAGGGGGTCAGTGCGGGGATGAGAAGCAGGGAGGGCGGAGAAAGCTGGGACGCTGCCTCTCATGGTGCCACCCAGGACCTCGGCGAACTCAAAGTGCATAGGGTGTCCCTCTAAAGATCGCTGGGTTCAGGCATCCCAGACCTGGGAAAGGGAGTAGAAAGGGAGGAACGAAAGGAACTAAAGGCGAAGAAACGCGCTCAACAACGCGGCAAAACTGCTAGCGCAGAGAAAAGCGAGTGCGGGCGGCGACCCCGCGGGACAGCGGCGGCGTCCACCCCCCGGGCCAGGTCTCCCAGACGTGTTCCCGAGGGCCGAGGTCGGGGCCCGGGCTCGGGCGGGCGCCAGAAGAAAGCGCAAGAAAAATAAATTTCTCCAGCTTGGAGGGTTTTTTTTCTCCCCGTTGGGGCTCAGTGCAAGGAACATCTGGATTTTGTACGTGTTTTTTTGTTGTTGTTAAATTAACTTTTCCAGGAGAGAAGGGGGGTAGTGGGCAGGGGCCAGGGAGGCTCCAGCCTTTTGGCAAGAGCACCGCGGCCTAAGGCGGCGGCAGCGACTCAGAAGTCACCGCGGACCGCGGCCCCGCGCAAGCCCGTCGGGGACACCGGCCCCTCTACCTCTAGGGCGCACGGCGGGCAACGACCTGCAGACCGAGAGGCGCGCTCGCTGCCAACTAACAACTCCAAGCCACCCGAGTACCCCGCCGAGCACCTGGCGGGTGCTGCCCCGGGCTCGATGCCCCCGTCCGGCCCCGCCGCCCTCGCCCGCCCTCGCGCGGCCGCCCGCCGCGGGCACCTACCCGAAGTAGGCGGCCGAAGGGCGCAGCGCGGCGAGCAGCAGCGTCAGCCCGAAGGCCGCGGCCAGCCAGCGCGCCAGAAGGGACCCATCCAGCATCTTGCCGCGCCGCGGCGGCTGACCATCGCGCTCCGGGATCCGCGCAGGGCGCGCCGCGACCGCCGCTCTCTTATAGCGTCCGCAGCCGCGGCCGCGGGGCGGGGCGCCGGCCAGCTGGGCCTGGCCCGCTGGAGCCCCGGAGGAGGGGTCACGCCGGCGCCGGGGGCGGGCCGAAACCCGAGCTGTGCGCCCGCCGCTGAGCCGCTCGGCTCGCGGGGCGGGCCTGGGGAGCGCCGTGGGGAGGGCTGGGCACGTGGCGCGATGGGAACCCGGGCCGAGTAACGGGGCCAGAAGGAGGGGCCGGGACCGGAGACCGAGCAAGGGTAGGCTCCGGGCTAGGCGTCTGCAGCAGGGACCCAAGTGCGAGCTCCAGGGAGTCTCCTGACAGTTGGGGCCGGCTGTTGGTCTCTGGGAAAAGCATCCGAGACCGGGGAAATTTGGACGACTGTGCTTGAGGGGTGGTGACTGGATGTCTTGGGGGCGACGTTAGCCTCCGGATTACAGCGCTGGGGCGTGAATCCACTCGGCCCGAGATGTTGCCAAGAGGGAGCCACTGCTGGAAGCTGGGGTGCTGTGGCTGGAGAAAAGGAAGGGTGATCCCTCGAAGGGAGACCAAAAGGGCATTTCTGCAGAGCGGGCACTGTGGCTAACTTGGACCAGAAAGTGGGGCGATGTGGTGCTTAGGGACCCTCTGACTACCAGCTGCGGATAGCACCAACATCCAGGGACCTCATCACCCCCCCACAACAGGGTGGAAGATGACTGTGGCTGGCTAGGATGCTGACTGTGAAAGCCCAAAGCTGTGACTCACCTTCGTGGACTGCATTGTCTGATAAGTCAGACCTGAACTAAGATGTGAAGAAACAGAAAGCTCAGGGCACCCAGTAGACTACTTACAAGTTCCCTGAGATGGGTGGTAGAGCTTATGCAGGGACATATAAAGTGCTGGAGGACAGGGTTGGGTCCAGTAGATGCCCATGTGTCACAGAGATGCACTTCTGTGCAAGGTGGCGACCCCACACACACCAGAGCCAGGCTGACAAAACTCGGGGACCACTAACACTAGTGAACCTCCTTGGTCTGAGGCTTTCCACTCGGGAGGAAGGCAAACCTCCATACAGGCCAGCACCTTCTGAGCTTGAAAGGGCTGGTTCTGGATGAAGAGACTTCCAAGTCTAAGATTGGAGCTCCTCTGGGAGGCTGGGCTGTCTAGTTGTTCACGACTGCTCAGCCACCTGTCACAGGAAGGGTGCTCCTATGGAAAGCAAAAGAGGAAATGAGAGAGAGAGAGAGAGAGAGAGAGAGAGAGAGAGAGAGAGAGAGAGAGAGAGAGAGAGAATCACATCAGCCTCAGCCTCCACAGTGGCCCGAGCCAAGCAGGTTACTCCTGTGGGCGTAGACCACCCAAGCGAATGCCGTGTCCTGGCAGAAAAGCTTCCAGATGTGGGTGTGTGGCTGAGTGAGGGGTGGGGCAAGCCCATCACTTCCTCTCTGAGCCTTGGTTTCCCCATCGAAGGCCCACTTAATTCCACTGAGTGGTGTCTTTAACTTGCAATATCATGTTGTAGCTTACGAGCTGCCTTCCTAAAGGGTGTGGCAGACTCCCCACTGCTGGGAACCCTTTTGCACCCCACTTAGCTGTCCAATGGTGCTTCTCAGCAAAATGAACCCAAAAGGCAGCCTCAGCCACCCCAGCTTTGGGGGCCTCAGCACCAGGGAGACTTCCACCTGGAGGCCTGGCTCCTGCTCCTGGGAAGAGGCAGGGGACCGGAGACCCTGAGCGATGACATATTTAAAGGCATAAGATTGCTTCCAAGACAAATGATGTGTGAGACTGTAAACGAGTGTCGCCAGGCACTGCAGGCGGTACAGACTCCATGAGAGTGGAGCTGGCACCTCGGCCACCCAGCAAGTGCCGAGGAAGCAGGCAGCAACTGGGCAGCCCAGGCACAGAGAGACCTGGTTTTAGCCCTGGCCATCTGTGGAGATGGGGAACATGACCCACCTTTTAAATACTAGGCAGGGTTCTGCTTTCTTGGGCTTTGGTTAGGTCTGATCATGACAATGGGAAGTAGGGGGTAGCCTATCTCTGTGACCTGTCAAACTCAGAGCCCTGGCTCACCTCTGGGCCAGGGCATGTGAGTGGCAGGATGCATGCTCCACATAAGGTAATTCCAGATCCGCGTCTGAGGGCTACCCCAGCCTTCCATTCCCATAGGGGGAGATGGTAGTGGATGGTGAAGAGACCACAGCTGTCCCACCTTCAACAGAACTTCAGGAGACCCGCAGCACCCACCCTATACACTCTCACCTGCATGCAGCCTCGCCCAGGGCTAGCACCGCCCTGTTCATAGCATAGAGAAGCCGCGGTGGCTTCTCTCTGTCCCTCACAGATCTTTGAGGTGCTTCTTCGTATGGGGCTCTGCCCTGCCACACTGCATCTGCCACCAGCCAGCCCAGTGCCAGGGTGGAGAGAGTACCTGCCCTGTGAAGGTTCCGCTCCACACATCAGTGTCTCTGCTGAAGAAAGGAAACAGCAGCTCAGTGAGGAAGAGAATGAAAGGTCCAGGAAACAGAAGGTTCTGGCGCTTTTCTTGTGCTGGTCAAAAGGCAATGCCAGAAGAAGCCAGGAAGCAGGTAGAAGGCCATTCCTAGAGAAGAGCTGATAAGCATTGGTGGTAAACTGAGCCCACTGAGTTTGGCACTCACCTACCTAAGGACATGCAGCAGGCTAGGAAGTGGACTCCCTCCCCCTTTCCTCTTCCCTCCCATCTCCCCTTCTCCAGTGTGGGTGGTGAGCTCTTGGCTTTGCAGAGTGTGGGAAGGGCATTCTACTGGGAAAGTCTCCTCCCAAAGACTGTGCTCCGGTGGATGGCAAGTGGCCCTCTGGTTTCATTTTGGGTACAGGACTAGAAGGCTCTTTGCCATCTCCATCAGTGACCACCTAGGCCTGTGCAGCTATCCAAATACAATGCAGGGGCCAGATGCCACTGTGTTAGCTCTTTGATGGGTTCTAGGACTTGAGCCCACTTACAGGCCAGGAACCCTCAAGTTAAGGGGAGATCCAGTCCCCTTAAGGAAGGAGCCTGCCTCTAGCTCTTTTTCAAGGTACCTGTCCATAAAGAGAAAGGGAATGACCAGATGTTTTCGAGATTACTGGGCTCATGTAGATTCCCAGAAACCTGAAGTTTCACTGTCCTCCACTGAGAATACAGGTTTAAGAGGGACAAGCTGTCTTAGCTTCACCCCATTTCATAGAGGGCACCTTGGGCCCCAAGGCTATCCTGCTACCCTCTCTCTAGACCAGAGTTGCATATTGTAAGTAGACAGTCAACAGCGGGCCCTACGGTAGGCAGGAAGAGGTTAAAGAGGTGGGATTTGTCCCCATCCTATATACCCACTCAGCATTTGGAACCAGGGGAGCCAAGCTCGGGTGGTCTGGGAGGAGTGGGCCAAGGGGCCACTTATCAGGAAACACTGCCTAATTGAGAAGGTTGGGCAGGGGTCTCCCTGGGGGAGAATGCAAAACCATGCATGAGTCATTTGAAATGAAGCTGGACAGAGTGTGAGGAGAAATGAACCCACCCAGATTGCCAGACAGGACAGAATGAGCTCATGGCTGTGATAGTGTGTGGTGGTGGAGGTGGTGTGTGTGTGTGTGTGTGTGTGTGTGTGTGAGAGAGAGAGAGAGAGAGAGAGAGAGAGAGAGAGAGAGAGAGAGAGAGAGCCAAGCATGGAAAGCTAAACTGCAAGACCAGGCTGCCCCCTGCCGGTCAGTGAGAGAATGGCCAGAGCCCCAGCCCCTGTTCTGGCTACGATCCCAGCCCACCATGTGCATACCTACTGTCTCAAGCTTGGCTTGGGACAGATGCCAGGCAAAAGGCAGACTTGTCGAGAAAAACATCCATCCACACTACTATATCTTCTAGGAGACAAGTGTGAGAAAGTTGTTGCTTTTTTCCCTTTGTGCAAGACTTTTATTAAATTGTCTTTACAAAGCAATATTCAAACTCAGGATACAACTCCCAGGCCCTGTTTTGCTGTGGGCACTGGCTAGGGCACAGAAAGTGGCTTCCGACTTCTGTTGTGAAGGTGGGGATTTCATTGCTGGCTTCCACAATGCTTGTGTTGCCAGGCAGGAGCTTCCCAATCTTGTGTTGTGCATCCCAGGGAAGGATGATCTTTACTTTGATTCCCTGTACTCCTGGCTAAGCACACATGATGGTAGTAGTGTTGACAGAATCAGATTTCCACTGTGGATCACCAGCCTATCCACACACTTCATGGTCTCTCTCCTCTGTGTTCCCTTACCCCAACCTCAAAGCTCTTGCTCTGACCACAGAACACCATAACCCAGAAAAGACCTTCTATGAGCTTCTTTTCTTTCTGTCCTTCCTTCCTTTTGTCCTGTAGCTGTTATTGTTTTTCTGGACTTGAACTCACTATGTAGCTAAGGATGATCTTAAACTTTTCATCTTTCTGACTCTTCACAAATGCTGGATTTAGTTGGGCTTTATGCCAATTTATGCAGCAGTAGACACTGAGTCCAAGGCTTTGAGCACGCTGGGTCAGCACTCTGCCAGTGAATTCCTATGTCCCCTCCAGTCTCTATCTCTTTATTCTCTTCTTCTTCTCCTCCTCCTTTTCCTTCTCATCCTTCTTTGTGGTGGTTTTTAAAAACAGGGTCCTGTATGTCCCAGGCTGACCTTGAACTCCTGGACCTCCTGCCTCCATCTCTAATTTGGAGATTACAGCTTTGCACCATTCTACTCAGTTTCATCCCAGGAATTCCTAATTGTGGGACAGTGGTGGTGCACACCCTTAGTCCCAGCACCTGGGAGGCAGAGGCAGGTGGATCTCTGTGAATTTGAGGCCTGTCTGGTCTACAGAGCTAGTTCCAGGACAGACTCCAAAGCCCAGAGAAACCCTATCTCAAAAAAAAAAAAAAAAAACCCAAAAAACAAACAAAGCAAAAATCAAGAAATTCAACAAACTACCAGTGAAGAAACACAGAAAGACCACACCATGATGTCTGTCACCCAGGGTTGATCTGGCTGTTATGGAAGACCAAGGTCACCCTCCCTTCAGGTGTCATTCCTGG